CACAGCTCCTCTCTGCGGGACTGAGGCACGAACTTTCTCAGGAATAGACCGGAGAACTGCTGCCAGGTAAGGGGTGCTTCACCGATCGGCCTACACCTGTCGTAAGCCTCCCACCATCTGAAGGCAGCCCTAGAAAACTGAAAAGTAGTGAATGAGACCCCATTAGTCTCTAGAATACCCGTTGTCCGAAGCATCCGTTGACACTTATCCAAAAAACCCTGAGCATCCTCTAACTCCGCACCGCTAAAAGATGGAGGTCGAAGCCTCTCAAATCTCTCAAGTCTCCTCTACTCATCATGTGCCATAACAGGAACTACCGGGGCCTGAGCAGCTGTAGCTGGCTAGGCTGGTAGTGCCCCCGGTATCTGAAGTCCCTGTACTACCTGGTCTAGAGTATGGGCAATCGGGGTATGAGTACCTCCCCTGGCCTGAGAAGTGGCAGGTGCGGCCTGAGCTGAAACCACCTGAGCCAGACCAGTGCAAACTGCCAATATCTGGGCCGAAGTCTCCTAAAGGCTTGGAATCTCGATGGGCACAACTGGTGCCTGAGCTGATCCTGTCGGCTCAGCTATATCTGGAATCTGCTCCTGAGCTGGAGCAACTGGTGGTACTACAGGTGCTGGTCCAACTGTGGTACGAGCTACACCTCGACCTCTACCTCAACGCCAGCCTCTACCACGGCCCCAGCCTCTCGCGGCCTTAACTGGTGGCTGACCGTCCGATCCGGTAGTACGTGTCCTCACCATCTGTGAGAGAATAGATTAACAAAAATTTAGTTTCCGGAATCAACAAATTCGCATGACAGAATACAAGAAAGTAAAATTTTCCTAAAGGTTCTGCATCCTCTCGAAGATAAGTAAAGACGTCTCCGTACCGATCCGCAAGACTCTACTAAACCTGCTCATGACTCGTGAGACCTACGTAACCTAGGCTCTGATACCAACTTGTCATGACCCAAAATCTCAACCTGTCATGATGGCGCCTATCTCGATACTATGCAAGCCGATAATCTCAATAAACCACAATTTCTCTTAAGTTTGAAAATATAATATTTAAATACAATACAAAATTCCACAAATACGGATACGAACACTCCTCCAAAACCTGGTGTCACTGAGTACATGAGCATCTAATATGGATACAAGTCAAAAGAAAATAGTCTATAATAGTCTAAGACCAAATACAGTAAACAAAGAGATAGGGAAAGAGAGCCAGGGTCTGCGAAACACGGCAGCTACCTTTGAATCTCCGAAAAATTAACTGTGCAAGAAAATCAACATCCGCTATGTTGAGAAGCACCTGGATCTGCACACGAAGTGCAGGGTGTAGCATGAGTATAACCAACTCAGCAAGTAACAATAATAAATAAGGAACTGAAGATAGTGACGAGCTACACAGTTATAGTTCATTTTCAGTAATTCCAATAGAGAGTAGACATGCTTTCAAATCCAGCAGTTTAAGTCAAATCAATTTATACAGTTCAAGTTCATGTAATCTGGATATAAAATCTTTCAGAGAATTTCACAACAATGACAAATAGCAACTAAGCGCAACAACAAATGAAAAGTAAGTACAACCTCTCAAGGCAACAATCACTCCACTCGTCACAACAACTCAACCACTCGGCTCTCAGCCCTCAGCACTCACACTCAATAGGTACCCGCACTCACTGGGGGTGTACAGACTCCGGAGGGGCTCCTACAGCCCAAACGCCATAATCTGCACGGAAAACTCACGTGTTGCGCGGACAACTCACGTGCTATACTATCCTGCACGGATAACTCACGTACCATAATATCCTTACCTCACCGACAAGCCCTCGGCCTTACTCATTCCTCAACCTCTCTAGTCTCTCGGGCTCTTAGAAATCACAAAGATCAGTCCAAACAAAGATAACATAGTGTATCAATAAATATCTAGAAAGACTGAGGTATAATACGCAAGAAAAATCATGACCGAGTACAAGATAATATTTAGTAAATAATTCAACAAGTACGCGACCTCTACGAGTTCCAACAATACTATAACATAGCCTAAGCATGATTTACAGTCAAATTTATTCAACACATAGAGAGAATATAGCTAACAATAAATTATTCAACTATACGGTTTTCACGGGACGGACTAAGTCACAATCTTCTCGGTGCACGCCCACACGCCTGTCACCTAGCATGTGCATCATCTCCAAAATAATCACATGACACAAAATTCCGGGGTTTCATACCATCAGGACAAGATTTAAAACTGTTACTTACTTTAAGCCGTGAAATTCTTATTCTGCAATGTCCTTTCCTCGTGAATTGACCTCCAAACGCCTCGAATCTAGCCATAAATAATTTGTTTCAGTCAATAAAATTCATTGAAATTAATTCCATAAGAAAATGCTAATTTTACATAAAAAGAATCTGAAATTTAGCTCAAAAATTGTCCGTGGAGCCCACATATCGGAACTCAACAAAATTTATAAAATTTGAAAGCCCATTCAACCACGAGTCTAACCATACCAATTTTATCAAAATTCGGCCCCAACTCGACCCTCAAATCTTCAATTTAAACCAAGAGGGTTTTCAAACTTTTCCAACTTAATTCATCAATTAAATGATAAAAACAACCATGGATTCGTGTAATTTAAACAATATTGAGTTAAGAACACTTGCCCCATTGGTTTCGTTAAAAAACTCCCGAAAATCGCCTCTTCCCGGGCTCCAATCCGTCAAAAACTAAAAATTGGACTTCGTCCCACTTTTAGAACTTAAACTCTCTGCCTAGACATTTGCTCTACGCGATTGCGAACATTCCCACGCGATCGCGAACATTCCCACGCGATCGCGAAGAATAATTTTCTATCGCCCAGATTTAACTCTACGCGATCGCGGACTTTCCTACGCGATCACGATGCACAACATCACAGACCTACGCGATCGCGGACCTAACCACGCGATCGCGAAGCACAAATGCATGATTTCCATTTCTGCCCCATTTCCTCTACGCGAACGCGACCTTCTTCACGCGTTCGCGAATAACAAACTCACATAGCTACGCGATCGCGTCCCGCTTCACGCGATCGCGAAGCACAAAATATCACTGCCTCAAATTAACCCTACACGATCGCAGATATCCCCATACGATCGTGTAGAACAAAAACCTCCACTAACCAACTAAGCCTACGCGATCGCAGATACATTCACGCGATCGCGTAGAAGGAAAACAATATCAGATATCAGAAAATTCCAGCAACTGTTCAAGTCTAAATTTTTGATCCGTTAACCATCCAAAACTCACACGAGCCCATCGGGACTTCAACCAAATATACCAACAAGTCCTAAAACATCATACGAACTTAGTCGAACCCTCAAATCACCTAAAACAACGCTAAAACCATGAATTACACTCCAATTCAAGCCTAATGAACTTTTAAATTTCTAATTTCTACAAATGACTCCGGAACCTATCAAATCACGCCCGATTGACCTCAAATTTTGCACACAAGTCATAAATGACATAACAGAGGTATTCCAATTTTCAGAATCAGATTCCAACCCCGATATCAAAAAGTCAACCCCCTAGTCAAATTTCTCAAAAATTAAACTTTTGGCATTTCAAGCCTAATTCCACTACGGACCTCCAGATAATTTTTCGGATACGCTCCTAAATCCAAAATCAGCATACAGAGTTGTTGGAATTATCAGAATTCAAATCCGAGGTCTTTTACACATAGGTCCACATCTAGTCAACTTTTCTAACTTAAAATTTCAATTATGAGACTAAGTATCTCATTTCATTTCGAATTCCTTCATGACCCGAACCAACTAACCCGGCAAGTTATAAAATAACTATAAAGCATAAATTGAGCAGTAAATGGGGGAACGAGGTTATAATACTCAAAATGACCGGCCAGGTCGTTACACATATGCATCAGATTTTCAAAAATAGAGTGAACAAGATGAATGTTGGAAAGGGAGAATGGAGATGGACAAAAAAAGTACTTCCTGTGATTAGTGAGTCAGTTAACTTATTAAATGTTGAGCTTAATTTTTATAATATGCTAATAATAATAAAAAGTGCTCTTTATGGAATAAAGAATAAATGTTGCTATTTTAAAAAAAATAATAGTTAAAAAAGGATCAAGCGTGTAAAAAAGCCAAAAATATTGTACCTTCTACTTCAATTGATGTAAGCTCCTTTTAATTTGTTCCAAAAAAAATAATTACTTTTTAAATTTTTAAATTTTTAATTTAAAATTTTAATTTTATTCTTAATCAGAAGCTTTTACGGTCACATAAATATTAAGTTATTACTTCGAAGGTCACTTGACTAAGGTAATTATTTAGGAAAGGCACTAATTTGAGGAAGATCAAACCTTTGGAGAAGATTATTAATATGATATAATTCAGAGTGCCTTTGGTCTATTACTCGTTTTCTTATTAATGCTACCACAGATTGCAAGTTTCAATTTTCAGAGGCATTTATTTGTTGGTTTTAATTTTTAATTATAATTATTTATATTGAACTTATCTTTTTAATAGTACTGTTTCATTTATCTTAACAATACTCTTTTTATCTAGCATATCACAGAAATATTTCTGCAATGTCCAATTGATATCTTTTGCTCATTATAATTGCCATAAATTCACCAGATAATGAATATTTTTAGTTGATTAAACGATGGTGAACTTTAGCTCGCGTCAAATGATCCTTTAAATGTTGTCTTTTGCTCACACTAAATTACCTTTTTAATGAGACTAAAAATAAGTAAATTTGGTATAAAAGATATCGGGTCGTGTCTCGGAGCAGATCAAAAATATTTTTAATTGGTGCCTTATTATGTTTTAAATATTTAGCTTTAAATAAAAAGTAAAAAAGTGTAGTGCGTGACCTTGTGGGTAAGATGACAGAAATAGAGAACTTTTGTGATTTAAAAAAAAAAGTGACCTTTAGTTGGGTGATTTTTTTGAGCTCTTTAGTCGCACACCACAAATTATAAAAAAAATTATTTCTTTTTAAAATTCTGTATCCAGTCAAATTCGTTCGCATAATTCTGCATCTCATCAGCTGTGGAAGAAAAATGGCCGGCGGAGGAGATCACGCCCATGGACATGGTGTGGACTTCAGGACTAAGGTCTGGAGCATGAGTGGTGGGCCCTACTGTAGGCCCAAGCATTGGCAGCGTAACACTGCCATTGCTCTCGCTGGAATCGTCCTCATATGTATCCCTGTCGCCTTGAAATCCGCCGAACTCGAGGTCAGTATCTCCAAATTTCACTTATTTTTTATGTGAAATATATTCGTAACAATTTGAGATTCAAGATTGAAATCACATATTGTACTTTAATTTTGGTTAGAGATTGATCTTGGTGAAATTGGATAAAGGCGTTAGCTTTGGGGTGAAAATTGATTTTTGTACTTTGTATTTGTTTGATGCAATGAGTTTAGGATCTTCAGGTTCAGCATGTGTGGTGATGTGAAATTAAAACAATCTCATCATATGGTGAATAGTATTTATATTCCGTTTGGCAGAAAGCAGGATTTCTTATTCTTGATACAATTGATTGTTGAAGTTGGTTAATGAACTCAAATATGAGTTCTTTTGATCCTGGGAAATTAATTCTCTGAGAACATACCATGCTTTGAGGTAAATATATTTGCTAGAAGTGTAGTGGTAGGAATTAGGAGTATAAATGTATCTGCAGCTTTAGCTTCAGTGATGAATGTAAGAAGTAGGAAATGAAAGCGACGGAGAAATGTGAAGGAAGGGATTATTACTTATTATGGGTGAACTGATGCGACTTCAGACAGTGAGGCACAAGTGGTGGTTCTTTGAATTTAATATTAGAGTTTACAAAAGAAAAGGAGTTGGAAAAATAAGACCTTTTGGTATCCGAGTACTAGGACTCTTCTACAGTATGCTTCAATATTTTCTTCGTTGTCATCTTCTTCTTATTTGGTTTTTAGTGACTCTTCTTCAATCATTTATGTTTATCTGTCTCTCTGAATTTGCTTCTTGTTCTTCATATTGTTGTTCACCATGACATTTTTTTTGGCATGTGAATCCTCTTCTTCTGCTATTCTGTTCTAGGCTTATCTTCTTTATCCTTTTTTTTTTTTGGTCTCGTTCTTGGTAGCAACACTTTTTTTATTTATTTATGTTTTGTTTACTATCCTCAAGCCATGATAGTAATTTATCTAAAGCATTTAACATGTAGTTGAATGTTGCGAACTAATTGTTTTTTATGGCTGATTAATTGAAACTAAAACTCAACTTTGTAATTAAGGTAATATTTCTCAAAAGCTTGCTATGATATCATTTTGATTATGCTTGATTTGTGTTGTAGATTAGTATAGTCGATATTCTACATTTGATGTTGAAATGTTAATGCTAGTTGCAGCCCCCGGGGTTTTGGTGTAGTGGTAAGAGCACAATGCGTGATGTGTGAGTTAGGCGCATATCACGGGTTTGAACCCTGCCATAGACAAAAGCTTGATATGTAAGTGGAGAAGGAGTAGAGGGGTTGTGCGCCACTGGTCGTTGGAGATTTCTTCGTTGTAAAAAAATAGTAATGTTAGTTGCAGTTATGTTGTTATTCGCACATATATATTGAGTAATTTTTATAGTTTGTTATAGATTGTGTTTCGGGAAAGTGTGAAATTCGCTTAGCACCCAAGGGTGTGGTCTAATGGTCAATGAAGTTAAACTATGAGAGACTAGGGTTCAACTACCACCGGAGATAAAACACACCAAGTGATTTACTTCCATCTGCCTTAGTCTTGGGGGCATTAGGCAGAGTTACTCTATTGCAGTGTTGGTAGTAGATAGTAGGTACCTAGTGAAATAGTGGAATAATCGAGGTGCACGCAAGTTGGCCCGTAAACCGTTATGTAAAAACAAAGTGCAGTTCACTTCTTACTTAAAATCTCAGTAGCCTTTTCGCCGTAAAAAGCACTGAATCTAGAGGCCCTATTTTGACTTTTAAACCCCACGACCAGCCAAAAGAAATTGCTAGCCTAGCCTAATCTCCAAGAAAGAAAGAAAGAAAGAAAAAGAAACCCTAGCCTAATCTCCAAGAAAGAAATTGCTTTCAGAAGCCTGTCAGCTATGTGTGACGTTATTTAGTTTCGTAAATGTGTATAGCATGCAATTGTTATAGCTGATGGACTGATGATTCGCAATCATAGTAGGCTTAATATTGCATGTGAAAGTCTGTTCTAGATGCTGCCTACTATGATTTTTCAGAAATAATTGGAGCTAACAAAATCTGGCATCAATAGAATTTGATTATGCTACAATGACATCCAATTGCTTTGACTGAGATCACTTGCCTGGGAACCTAATCGAGACGAAAACTTATGTAAGGTAAGATTACAATCATCTCACTTATAAAAAGAAAGTACCATATCCATCTTTTACTTGAGGCTGTGAGTGGCTTTTGGACATTCCCGGTAATCTTACTTATAGACATAGGTAAACATCTCATCTATCCATGAGATGTTTATTGTAAGACCTTGATGTAAGTCTTAATATCACGTCGGGAAACTCTCCCCCCTTGTTTGATCTGTCCTCCTCCAGCTCACCTTGACTGGCCGACTTGAGAGGGAAATATCCATGCTTCTGTCGAGTCCCCTAGGGGATGGCCTAGTGGTTGAGACATGAGAGTAGTAACCTGATGATCCCTAGTTTGAATTGCAGTTATAACACTTAGTGTGAGTCATTTGCTCCAACCTTGGTGAGTAAGATTACCTTGGTAACTTGTGCTTGGCTGCTTGCGTGCTGGATAGGCTACCCGAAGGATTAGTCGAGGTGTAGCAAGACAGAGGAAAGAATGATTACATTGTAGAGATTTGTTATTCATATTTTTTGCAAGAAACTCCTGGCAGCGTTTCTTGCAAAAAAGTTCAGCCTAGATGATTTGTCATTCATATTATTGGATTGAATCAATTAGTAATTGCTGTAAAATGATCAATTCTTAAACAAAATTTTTATTAAGTGTACATGTAAATAGATTGAAAATTTTAAAAGTATATGACGTCTGGCTGGAGCAAAAACAGGCTCAGTCAACCTGAAAAAAATGGTTATTTATGTTTGTTTGTTCAATTTGAAGGTTCAGTTCAAAGATGATGTCTTGTTGAATCTTTTTATTTGTTTATGTAAATGGTTGTTCTAGCCTTTGATCAACTTAATATAATTCTTTTAGAATGATCAGTGTTCTTCTTGGTTGCTCTATTGCTCCTCTTTTTCTTATTGATTTGATACTGTTAAGGCCGTTTGATTCATGTACTTGTTATGCAGGGATTATAACAGAAGATTGTTATGTGATAACAAATAATGTTGGGATTGTTGTGCAGTAAATAACAATGTAGGGGTTGTTATACGATGAATCATAATATAGAGATTATTATACGACAAATAATAACACGAGATTATTATGTAGTGATTGTCTACATTAAAAAGATATTTGTCTTTGGATACTCTTATTCTAGCACATATTCTTCTAAGCGTTTTTCTCCTTATAAAATAATACGGAGTATATAGATTTACATGAGTTATGTTGGTACTTTTCTTTTGAAAAGAAATGAGTTATGTCGGTATTTGTAACCAAATGCTGCATTAGTTATGCAGATAACATTTTTCTATATCGGAGACTGAACTTTGTAGTATTAGTTATGTAGAGACTAGATTAGTAATGCAGAGTATTATATTGCAATGAAAAGTTGTATTGGTTGCGCAGAATTTTATGTTAGGATTTTTTTTCCTATGCAACCAACCATACCACCTATTAAAATGAGTTCGTGTGTGCACTTTGCAAAATATTTGATCTGCATTCATGTGATAACAAGGTTTCTATTTTGCAGCAAAGGCCACATCATCCAGTACGGCCCATTCCTTCTCAACTCTGGTGCAAGAATTTTGGAACAAAAGATTACTAGTCTTGTTACGAAGCAACAATTGTGGTTAGCTGTGGTTGATCATTTTCCCTTATATATTTGGATGCTAAAATTGTGTGCTTCATTTCATGATACTTATCATTTGTACAAGTGTGACAACATGATAAAGATATTCCATTGAATAAGAAACACTTATACTTACTCTGTTATAATGTCCAAGGCAGGTTATTTTAGCAGTGGTTTCCGTTTTTAATTTCATTTCCTCTAAAAGAGAACTTTTCTCATTATCAGCACGAAAAGGAGGTCTAGGGGTTGTGCAAGAGCATAGTCCTCTTTGTAAAGGAAGGATTTTTCTAACAAAGAGCAGGCTTTCTGAAAGACTGTTCATACAAGGGTAGAGAGGCTGTTTCCGATATACCCTCAGCTCTCTCCCTCCAAGAACTCCCCACCTTGCTCTTGGGGTGACTCGAACTCACAACCTCTTGGTTGGAAGTGGAGAGTGCTCACCACTAGAGCATCCCACTCTAAAAGACTGTTCATACCTATCTGTTAAATGCTGAAGTCTTAACCATGAACCATCCCCTCCCACATGTATCGTTTTGGTAACAGGAAATAACCCAGTAAGAATCTCACAAAGGGTTGGAGTATAAGTATGCCTAGAGGTTTTTCAACCTATATATAGCTTGGCAATGGGTTTATGTTCTTCAATAAGGTATTCATCAAGAAAACAAACTGAAAATGGTTTTCCTTTTGTTCAGAAACTTTTTCAACTGTTGTAAAACTGATTTCTCTGTTTTTTGGAAAGCTCGATTGAGGCTAGATATTACCTCAAAAGCCTGACACTAAAAAAAACGCTTGAGGTGTTACAGTTTGCCATATTTTCCATTCCTATTGTCGTCTACATCACTTTCTTCTCGAACATTGATATTTAAAGAAAGCAAGTTATATAATTGCCGTGCGTAAGCAGATGTATTGCTCTGAAATTTCATGCCTGATTTTTAAAAAAAAAAAAAAAATTCCAATACAAAATGTTAACACAAATTGATTGATAACAGAATATTATCACACAATAGCAAGGACTTGACAGTTAATGATTGTAGTTTTTGATGCACATGTCAATTACAATATATGCTTCATTATCTTTTCAATTATTTATTATGTCCAACCACCTTAAAATCGACAGTTCCAATATTTTAACAAATCAAATGTAAGCAACCCAAATTATTAGACAACATGAGAATTTAATTCACATGGAAGTGGGAAAAATAATATTTCATGAAGATGATGAAGTTATTAAACGTCGAGTTAAAACTTTGAGAGTTTCTTAATTTGGTGGGGCATTTGCTAATAGATGGATATTTTATGTGCAATTCAAACCATGCGTACATCTTCAACTTTTCGTCTTCGTATCCATGCACAAAATATTGAGTGCTTAGGGTGTGTTTGGTGCAAAGGTCTGGAAAATATTTTTTAATTTTTTCATATTTAGTTGATTTAAATTGGAAGAAAATATTTTTCCTACCAAAAAGAGGGAAAACATTTTCCAAAACTCTTTTTCACCTTCCCCACCCCATTCCCTACCCACCC